AAACTTGTTGCACGTCCCCGGTTCCTGCCATAAAATGAGTGAGTTTGAGCTTTTACATTAAGGTAGCGTTCAAAAATACAAAACACCAGCAAAGAAACTTGACAGAGGAACAAAAAAATGTTCCTGTGTCAAGTTTCTTCATAGTGCTTTTGTTTTTTTCTGAACGCTACCTTAATGTACAAATAGCTCAAACTCACTCATTCCGCTTGAACCGGCAGAGATGTGCCACAACTTAAATCATAAGGTAAACACAAAACAACAAAACAACCAATCACAGAGCTTGCGATACATGTCATTGCGACATGTAGTTAAATTTTTTTTAACTTGGTCCGCATCAGCTACTGCGAGGGCTATATCCACGTGGTGGCTGCACCGGACCATACGTATACACGAAGGGTATTTTGTATGTCACCTTTGTTTGTCACACCCATTTCAAGTCTTTAAGGTTCTGCTAATGAGCTGTTGATCTGAATCAGGTGTGTTTGGTTAAGGAGACACAGAAAATGTCTCCTTAAATGTCCTCCAGGAACGTTCTTGAGAAACACTCCTTTGGACCATGCACATACAAAATTGCCCAGTAACTGTATTTGTCCTTTTCTTTAACTCTCTACACTTCACGGGCCTTTTAAATTCACAAACATATAGTATTTTGCCTCATGCTTTTCCCTGCCTAGATGAGTGTGTGGCAGAGGGACTGCAGCAGTCATTTGGAAGTTAGTAGGCCTCCTGCAGATCTCCACAGGAAGCTGTCATCAGCCTGCTCACCTCCCCTGCTGTCTGAAACATGTTCTGTTCACCAGCCCAGGGAATGAATGAATAAATCTTTGTCATCTCCACATTGTTTCATTTCACTCCACATGTTGCCTTATCTTGTTCTTTCCTAGTGATCTTATTATGTGACTCCTGTCCAGGAATGAAGACATGACACACATCACCTGCCCTGCTGTTCTTGATTTTGAGGTATAGCAGCTCTTAAATATTTAAGGGTCTTTTTATTCCTTGGCTCTGGCGAAGTGAGATAAGACTACAAGCAAAACTGTTTTCAGAATTTAATACTATAAAGTAAAGCCATCATTTTGTGATTTCATTGATATCTGCCTTACCTATGTAGTAGTGTGTGAGTTGAATAGGAATAGGATTGGCAGGTCATGTAATACTTGAGTTTCTGGGCCGCTTTCCAGAAAAGTTACACAAGCTGAGTCGTCACTGTGAATCTGAAACGAGATACTTACAGAGATCTCTATCCTGCTTTGTCACTGTGGTGCCCTTGAGCGTGACACTTAACCAAAAGTTACTCAAGTCCAGTATGACTGTTGCAATCAGCCTACATTAGGGATGTCCAGTCCTGAAGAGCCATTGTCCTGTTCTAATCTGACCCAACACATGGTGCTGAAACATTCCAAACTCCAATACCAAAATGTAAACATGCTAGTCTTTTTTTTTAAGGACATAATGAAGCATCACAGACCATTTGTATCCCAGGCTATTTATGATTTTAGCTTTCAGAAAGTGCACACAGGTACCCACATTTTTCAAATGATTTATGTAAAAGATGGGGTGATCCTGATAATCCTTTTTAAAGAGGATCCTTCACAACAGACTTCTAATTGACAGTAGTACCCAAGCAGCATCACATAACTAAAGTCTGGACTTCAAGGTGAACTGCAAGAGTTTGGGGTGCCAATTTGGATTAGCCCTAGTAACTCTAAACATCCTGGTTCAGTTGGTCTTGATGGACCTTTGTCACATTTCTGGGTTTCTCAGTAGTTACAGAGAAGCTACAGGAAGGCTACATAGTTGGCTACATTAACATTTAAAAGGAATGTGATTTAGGTCAGCTTACAAAAAGCTCTATGTGTTTATCTTTGTTTCATTTCCTTGCAAATGCAACCATTTCAGATTGCGATCCTAGATGACTAATGATGGCACTTTAGTCTCATTTAAGCTGGTGGCTAGATCTGTGTTTACTTAAACACTTGTGTCATTGTGAGAGAGAGAAAGAGAGAGAGAGAAAGCGCTGTTAGTGCTGAGTGCTGGAGTGAGGCCGGGCAGAAGGCCATGCTTAGAGATCAGAGACCCAGTGAAGTGCAAAATCAGCCAGTAGATCTTGTGCCATTTCCTTTGCTATGCATTATTTACAACCCCAATAGTCAGGAGCATGAAAAATGAAGCTTGTGTGTATGTGCATTCGGCGGGATGGCTTTGAAAGCTTTGTTTCTTGGTCTGGCAAGTTTAAAATGTTGAGTTTTGTTCTAATGCAATTATTTTCCTTGCAGATGTTCCTCCGCCGCTGTGCTGTGTTGGACCAATAACTGCAAGCAAGTTGTGGACCATGCACGTTAATGTTTATTTCACACTTGCAAAGGTACACAGTTCCTAACATAGAAAAACAGATATACAAGTGAACCAAGAATCCAGAGTTTTAGATAATAAATCACAGTTTTAAAAGACACATAGCAGCATTTTTGCATCTCATTCATATTGGCATAGTGGTTGGTAACAACTCAGCATAACAAAAGAGTTCTGAAAGAGCATTGATTCATAAAACAGTAAAGGATACACTATAATGAAAGGTGTTTAGTGCTAACAGTCTGTTTTCCCTAAGAGATTATGCATAATGACATGAGTATATTGATGAAAAATAACTAATAAAGTGCTTTGAGATCTATAACAGGGCAGTTAAATACTTAATTCAGTGTGAAGATCAGCAAACTGAAACATTTCGTCCCTTCCATCTCGCTCTAACCAGATAAGTGCTGTTATGTATCTGTATATTCTTTTTTTTGACAAACTTATAATTGATCAGTTTAATTTTGACTTTTTAATATTAGCAGAACGATGTATTAGCAATCACAGAGATGCAATAAACACCGTGAGACGTGTCAAAGAAAAGTTCACCATGTCCTAACCGGACGCAATTCAATATGACATCATGCGATAAAAGGTTTTCCATGTTTGTGTCTTTATCAGCCATAAGGGAGATAAACGACGGGTGACAAGGGATTCTGCTTAATGCTGGGTTCATACTACACCATATTTTTGTCTGTTAAATTGGATTTTAGACTATATGCAATAGTTTAACAAAATAATTAATTATATTAGGAGACTTTAATTTGAGTTTTTTGCACCAGAATAGTTGCAGAAAGAGATAGCTGAGATTTATTCCTGACTTTAGTTTCTAAATGAGTAATTTTAGCCAATAATTCAATTATCTATTAATGATAATTAATTTCTGAATGAATCAACATTTTTGACTAAATCGATTGAATTAGTAGTGAATTAATTGCACAAGACAAGCTTGCCGCCACCTACTGGTTTAGTGTTATATTTAGTGAACGGCTTTAGCCATTCCTCCATACAAATGTAATATTAGTTCATTGAGCTAACTCTTTTTGAAAACTGTAAAATAAAATATATATAAATATTTTTTTAAAGGTGAGAATTTTGAGAATCTGCAGTTCATAGAGTGTTTTTTTTTTTTCATTTGAATGTTAACTAATTTATCTGCCGATAGGAAAGCATATGTAATATTAAAATAAAAATTTTTGTGGTTTGAACTAGGGCTACACAATATACCGTTTCAGCATCAATATCGCTGTGTGCGAGAGTGCAATAGTCATTTTTTTGCAGAATCTGCGACGTCAAGTTGTGATTATAATTTACCAGACATAACAGTTCACAACATAGTGGCATTATTTCATTTCATTTCATTTCCACACTGAAGAATAAGATCAGTAACTTTTATACAGTGATCATTTCATTTCTGTTGCTGAAAACTGTTCGACTGCCCAGAAATTCATAAGTCATTGCTTATTTTATTTGAACACTTGCTCTGTTATATCTATTTAACTTTGCTTATTGTTTTTTAAAATTGTATTCAGTGGCGGATTTAGTCATGGGCAATTGCCCAGGGCGCCATCTTGCTGGGGGTGGCATGGGGGAAGCAAAAAAAGTGCCCAGTAAAAGCTTTGAGATAAGATTAACTTTATGCAAGTGTATTGAGTGGTTATCCACGAATAAAGATGTTAGGGGCCATTACCAATTCAATTCACAACTCAAGTTTGTTATTCTTTATGTGCAACTGAAACAACGCTGGTGAAAACAAATAGACGCAGGCAGCTGCTCAGAAAGCCATTCCTGCACGCCTCACACACGCTGATCATGATTCCGGTTGTTTACATGCACGTCGACATGCAAGTCAACAACACTAAATATTAACATATTATAAAATATGATTATGATGTTACTTTGACATCATCAATTCTAGGCCATGAGCCGGGTCTTAGACAACAGATAATTCTATAAAACAAAAGTCATGCAAAAGTCTTAGAATTTTTTTTGCTGTGTGACTGTGTCATTACATTTCAGTTACATTTAGGATTGATGTCTGTAATTTTTTAGAATAAAAGTTGTGTAATATTAAAAAAATAATAAAAAAATAACATATTTTTTAAAAATAAATAAATATATTTAAATGTATTTCTAATAATTATTTTAAATGTGTGTGTGTGTGTATGTATATGTATATATATATATATATATATATATATATATATATATATATATATATATATATATATATATATATATATATATATATATATATATATATATATACATACACATACATACATACATACATACATACATATATATATATACACATATATATATTTTATATGTGTATTATATATATAAATTATTTCTTAGGGGATGGTTGAAGGGGGGTGTTTGGGGTGGTTTCGCCCAGGGTGCCATTTAAACTAGAACCGCCACTGATTATATTTTACGCACATACACTGTCCTATGAAATATCATGCAGCCCTAGTTTGAACCCAGCATTAAAATGCAATGTGATAATCTCAGGTACTGACTGAAAGCTTTAATGTAAAAAAAAAACAGATTATTAATTCACTACTTCATTTCTAATTCTTGATGTTATAAAAAGAATCATAAAAACTGAGAGAAAAAAAAACAAGTAAATCACATGACAAAGATGGTAACAGTCATTCAGCATGTATTTTAACAATGCTCTGGTTATTTTGTATTATGCGTTATAAACTCGTCACTTGCAGACGATCATGCCTACACTCTCTTCTGATTGGCTGTGACATTGTTTTGTATCTTTTGTTACGTCATGTAACTCTGTCAAGACAAGAGTCTTATCACGTTGCGTCTGGTTAGGACACGGTCTTACACACAAGCTCATTCTTAAAGATAGAAAGTGTTTTGTCCACCCACAGCATGCCTAAATATTTCTATAAATATGTTGATATATATCTCATATTTATAAGGGTTAAGTAGGGAGATTTATGACCGGGAGTCTGACATTCTGTCCTGGAAAGAACCCGGGGAAGGATGAATAGTCCTGTGGTGCGTTTAGCATACTGATATAAAGGTCTTGGCACAGAATGGTGCTGGCCGCCGCATGCCTCTAGATGAATGTCCATGCTCCAGCAGTTTTTGTTAGGAAAGAGAGGCCTGGCATGCGTATCGTTACAGTCTTACCTCTCTAAAGAAAACTAGACTAGTACAGGACGTGTAATGAGAGGCTGAGCTCTCCATGAATGCTGTGTCTTTGACAGAATATAGCATTTGACACACTACGGACAACGATGTACAGTCCCATCTGTAGACTCCCACTACTACTCTCACAGATTAAAAAAAGATATAGTCATTGAAAATGCTGACACTTATTCACATACAAGGTCAGACATGCACGTGGTCATTTGTTTGAAATCCAAACCTACAAAATAAATGGAGAAAAATGAAACCTCCAACCCCAGTGTTCGTTTCTACACCTGACATGGATAAGTCGACCCTAGTTCAATCCCTCAGCTCAGACTCCACATAGAAATCTTTTCTATAAAACATACATCAGTAGTTTATTAGTTGCAAATATTTCTGTGCATAATTTTCAAATGCAAGATCGACCAGGAGTAATATAAGGTTAAAATGCAGCTGTGTGTAGACGTTTTCCATTTTTGAAAAAAGAAAAGAAAAGAAGAAGTCCTTGTCCTTTGTGTCATCATCCACAGGCCACTTTTTTTTTGCCGATACAGCAGTATTTCTCATTTACATAATGCAAGCCATCACTGTTCTTTTTAACATATGGGATTTTGAATTTATTTAATTTTTTCACTGAGCATGCTAACCTACTGCATGCATTTTCGCTACTTAATCAGATCTTATTTAGTTGCGACAGTCCTCGTTTCTTTTTCATCTTCTGTGGCGTTATTGATAAGAGGGAGATCTTGTTTTAATTACATCATCTGTGGGTTTTTTTGCAGTAGTAGTAGTAGTAGTAGTAGTCATCTTTACTTTGTCCCCTTTCCGGTAACTGTGAATATAGAGAGAAATAAACAGGAGTTTCTGAATTATAATATCAGCATTGATTAAAAAAAAACACATGTAATTTATCAAACCACAAGTTTGTGACCTGCTCTATCATACCGAGTCTGAATTATCTTTGACAAAATGAGATATGAAACCCTGCACCATTAAACAGGGGGGCTGCATTTATACATTTTTGCCATTAACTAAAAATACATTAGTTTATGCCAAAAATCATTCGAATATTAAGAAAATATCATCTTCGATTGAGATATTTATTATATTTTTAAATTAGTAATGTTCATTTAGACAGCTTTAAATGTGATTTTTGTAATATTTTCATATTCCAGATTTTTAATTGATTGTAATATTACTAAAGCAAAACCATACATTAATCAAAGCTTTCAGTGCTCAGCATAATGGAGTACACCCCATTTTGAAAATGCATATTGGTAACCAATTTTTCAGGGAATATAGGCATGGTATTTTGATGCATATAAACAAAACAGATTCATTAAACAGATATATTATTGAAAATAATATTTTTTTCACCAAACATATTTAGAAATTGAAAGATAATACAATTCAATTCAAGCAAAATATTGCATAAAAAATTACAACTGAATTTTTACTTTTTTTTTTTTTTTTTTTTTTTTTGCTTCTCTTGATTTTAACTTTTTTTTTTTTCTATAACATATCAATTTTGTACTAGTTTTTGGACTGTTATCATAAGTTATTTTGTTAGATAAGCTCAAGATTTGGCTTCAGTACTGTCTAATCTAATGTATATGCACGAATATAATATTGTATAGCTTCCTATTAAAAATATGAACTTAAAAGAGAGATTTGTGAGGGGTGTACTTACAGTATACAGTTGAAGTCAGAATTATTAGCCCCCCTCTGAATTGTTTTTTCTTTTTTAAATATTTCCCAAATTATGGTTAACAGAGCAAGGAAATTGTCACAGTTTGTCTAATAATATTTTTTCTTCTGGAGAACGTCTTTTTTTTTTTTTGGTCCAACTTTTTTTGGTCCTGGGTCACAGTTATAACAATTTAAACTCTTTCCATCCTAACTTTTTAAAAAGAATTCATTACACTGCTAAAAAAATAGATGTAATGTTTTTTTGTTTTTGTTATTTTGCTTCAAAACGAGTACAGCCAATTGTTCACACTCATGTTGTTTCAAACCCATAAGTATTTAATTTAATCTTAATAATACAATCTGAGATTTGTGCCTCTATATTGAAAATCCGTTTACTCAAAACTCTGATGCATTCATGAACCGGAAAGAAGATCCACATGAGTCAAAGCATCTTGTGAAGACATGATTGCTTAATATAATGGACAGTTTTAATCTAAGCTTTTATCCACATGAGAACTGATCCATTTACAGTGTTCAGACTTGGAAACTCAAGCATGTTTGATCACTGCAAAAGAACCAATGAGGTCAATGTGGCAGGCTTGAACTTCAGCAAGAATCAATAAAGTTTGTTATTGCATATTAATCCAGGTATGACTGCACTTGTTTTTCGTAATAGCTCAATAAGGTTCTGGATAAAATATGCTCTTTAAGTGATTGTGTCTCTTCAGGATACTTTGATTAAGCCACTTAATTTCTTGAATGAATATTTTAAAGTTTCAGAGTTTTAAGTGACCAAACTTTTAATGGATAAAGAGAAATCTTTCTTGAGATTTAAGATTTGATTTAAAATATCTTCATTTGGAGAAATATCTTCATGAGCAAAGGTTTTACGGATCTAGAATAACATGAAGGTTAGTAAATAATGGTAATTAAATAAACAAATAAATAATATTCAATATACTTTTGAAAGAAAAACACTTGCAAGGGAAAGTTCACCCAACAATTTTAATTCTGCCCTCAATTAATCATCGTCTACATTTTTCAAGTATTTTTTTCTTCAGTTAAACACAAAAGAAGACATATTCAATACAGTTGGAAACCTGTAACCATTGACGTCCATAGTATGTTTTTTCTACTGGTTACAGGTTTCTTACATTCTTCAAAATGTCTTCTTTTATGTTCAACTAAGAAAAAAAGCTTAAAACAATCTGGTTTTGATAAAGTCAGTTGTAAGTAAGTAATAGCAGGATTGTCATGTTGTAATGGTGAGTATCCCTTTATGGTTCTGTGTATTTGTATAGAGCTTTTCACAATAATTATTCCAAAGCAGCTTAACAAAAGGTGCAAATTATGTTGCAATCAAAAACTTACTGTAAAGTTAGGATTAGGTTTAGCATTCAATTATTTTTAATTTACTGGTATTAGTTTAATAACTATTTAATAATAATAATAAAATAATAATAAAATGTATCACGGTTTTGATAAAAATATTAATCATTGATTACAATTATACTAATAATTACCAGAAATGTTTGATGGCATATTAGAATTAAGCAACAGCATTTATTATGTTAATGTTGTGATCATTTTTCCTCATTATTTCACTTTATCAATGATAAAACAATAGTCAAAATGCAAGTGTTTTGTTTTTAAACACTAAATCGGGTCATCCAGCTCATAGCAACAGTGTCACATCTATCTTATATGGTAGTTGCTAAACTAGACTGATAAAGTAATGACATATACAGACATGTAATTATACATACCTGCAACCACCACATATATTATGATGCTCAGGAGGCCCACGATGATGGCCACACAGCTAAGCAGACGAGCCAAACGTCCCAAACGTCTTGCCCCATCCATATCCCCCTGCTGTAGACTGTTTCTGGACTGCAATGAGAGTAGACATATACAAAAAATCAATAATTCAATAGATCACGATAACAAACATGCATTATATTGATATCATGGGCACTTCAAAATACTGTGAATAAGTCCAAAATCAAACAAAAAGTTTTCAGGGGTAACTTAATTAATGTGTCTGTGATCCCTGCGTAAGTGATTCATCAAAATAAACAGCAAAGGTAAGTCTAAGGCACTCGAAAAATGTGCAAAAAAAAATGTTCAAAAGCCTTTATTGAGATGGCTGTTCCTTAAAATTGTACCTACATATTTTGACAAACACTTTCTTTCATCAGGGTAACCAAATGAAGAAGTTAAATAAATGAATAAGTATTTGATCTTTCAGTGTTTTGTAAGAATATGCACATTGTATTTGCAATTGTTCATAACAGCAATAAAGGCATGGAGACTTTTTCAAGTTTATCTAGCCTACTACATGCTGAAATAGATCATGTTTAAAAATTCTGTGATTATTTAATGGGCTGTTGTGCAGTTAATAGAAATGCTACTCTTACAATGAAAACTACTAAATCTTTCATTAATCTTAGATGATGGTAATTTCTTAGTTAACGCCATACACTAGATGTTGCCTACGCTATTTTTAGTAAAAGGCAGTGCTGCTTTGAAATGAATGTGGGACCAGGTGCAGTAGAGGACTGGCCATCCGGAGCCAGAGATATATAACCATTCATTATAATAATAATACTTCCTTACATTTACATAGTCTTTTTCTAGACACTTGCAGCGATTTAGACCTCATCCACCACCAATATGCAGCATCCACCTGATAAGACGGCAGCCATATTGCACCAGACCACACACCAGCTGATTGGTGTGGAGGAGACAGAGTGATGAAGCCAATTATGATATGGGGATGGTTAGGAGGCCATGATGGACAAAGGCCAGTGGGCAAATTTTGGCCAGGATGCTGGGGTTAAACCACTACTCTTTTGAAGGACAACCTGGGATTTTTAATAACCACAGAGAGTCAGGACCTCGGTTTAACATCTCAGCAGTATAGAGTCCCCTTCATTAAACTGGGGCGTTAGGGCCCTCACAGACTGCAGATTGAGTGTCCCCTGCTGCCCTTACTAACACCACCTGCAGCAAACTAGCTTTCCCATGTGGTCTCCGGTTCAGGTACTGATCATGCGCAGCCTTGCTGAACTTAGGGCGACTATGTGAGAGTTGCAGAGAGCTAGCTGCCGGCTAATAGTGAACACGAGTTTATACACATATCTATGATTGGGAGTTTTCCCGGTGCTCAGTATGCAAATTTTTCTTTTAAATGACGAAAATTATCATTTTTATATATCACTTTTATATATTGATGGATAGGTGATTGCACGGGCATTGCTGACAAAGAGTGTGTGTTTAAGTGCACGGAAATGTATTATCCTCCCTCCCTGTTAAATTTGATCTAATCCATGTCCTGATACACACCCCCTCTCCTGCGCTCACTTCTCTATCTAACAGAGGGAGCGATTCGTTTGTGAATGCAGCGGCATCTTGTTGTCAAATTTCATTTGCATTGTTTGCTTATTTTAGTTAACTAAACTAGCATAAGCCTAGTATTTAGTGCAAGTTGGTACTACTTTGCCTTAGGGTCAGTGCAGTAAGAGACGGCATTATCATCAATAGTGTTACTTGTTTATCACAAAAGTTTGTAACATACAAAACGAATTCTTACCTATGAAATGTTTTGCCTTTGTGCTTTGTTTTCTTTGTTTGCTTGTTGCTACAGTTGTACACAGTGCTTAAGTCCAGCATCTTCAGATTGGCTTTAGTTTTAACTAGTGCGGTTGATTGACTTTTGTGCTGGAAGCACTGTACAAATGTGGTGGCTTTATTGACGCATGCTCAGGGTCCGTATGCGTTATCTAGTTTATAAATCTATGAGTTAATGCTTAATAACACTTTAGAATCATAGTTGTACACGTTATAATCATTGCAATACATCCTTATAATATTCTTGCAGCTTAATTTGTTTGTTTACTCTAAATATGTGTATAAAATAAAGCAATACACCAAGTATTTTTCTTTTGTTATTAAACCTGTTTAGAAACTAAACTTTTCTCCAGCATAAGCAATTCATTGCAACTAGAAAATCTGCCAAAATGAGAGGAAAAAAGTGAAATAAAATGACAATGTCACAAGAATCAAAACCGTATTTACATTTTAATCTGTTGTAATAGATCAAAGCTATCGATTGGATCCAGAAGGCATGTAAGGAAGCAAAAGGTCAGAGGTGACAGTGTGAATTGTGGAAGTGATTGGGATACAGGATGAGGTGAGCCGATAAGCGTGTTTCCTTATTAGTGCAGTTCTATGCCACAGCCACCCATTAGATGCTCAGTGTACCCCAGGGAGAGCGTCTCCAGTAGACTGCATTAAAGTAATCAATACCGAGCAATAGATTGTGCAGGAAAAAGCCTCCGACACAGTGGCCAACCAATCTCCCCACACTCAAATGCTAATTCCATTCGCAATCACGTTGGTGTGTTGGTTTTTCTCTCGCGATGTGACGTAAACTGGCATCATCATAAAAAAAAAAAGCTCAGAGTGCAGTCGCTGTCCAAGGTGCTGAATAGACTTTGATCAGCTTCCCAAAGCACTGAGCAGAAAGTGAATTGTACTTAATCTCTACGGCACGATTCCCAAAAGCACTGCTATTTTAGTAGCACATAAAAAGAGACTCGTAATTTGAGCTGAATCTTCTTGCTCTTGTTTGTCTGAGACAAAGAAACACAAATTATTAATTGTAGTGTTTAGTATTCTTGAAATTCTACTATAGCTTTTATTGAGATTTGGGTTTTATTTTTATATATATATATATATATATATATATATATATTAGTTTTAATTATCATGTTGTTAAACTACATAGAAATGTAGAATCTTGCATGGGTGACTATTAAATGAAATGTATAGTTTCTGTAGAATAGAATAGAATATAGAATCTGTCCCTGCAAGTTCATTCATCTAAAAACAAAATGTCAATCAAAGTCTAACCATTTGATTGCGCATTTGGTGTGGTGGTATTTCTGTGGTATTGTCAGTTTATCGGTTTTCTGCCACAATATTCTTAACTATGCCCCTCTTATCAGTAGTTTACTTCACGGAAATGATACTTAAAAAGAAAGCCCCGCCCACTACTCAATATTCTGTTTCATATGGAAGAACATCAGCAAACTGAAAATTAAAGTTTCAGCAACTTCGAGATGACTCAGACTTTAAATTCACACATCTACGTGAATTCCAGTCAGAATTGAAAAAATACAGGATTATTACTTGGATAATTTCACCTAAAATTATAATTTTGATAGAATTTTCTACACTATTCCAAAACTGATGAATGAAGAACACACAGCAGGTAGAGCAGTATCTACTTTTAGCAACTAGCAACTAGCTTTAGCGCCCGAAAATGTCAACCTTATGTACAGTGCCTATAGAAAACCATCATACCCTATACAGCCTGAAATTAAATCACGTTCTAAAAATTATTTCCAGCCTTTGAAATGTTTTTGTCGACTTCTCCTAACCTGTGGTTTTCTACAACTTCATCCCGAAGGTCTTTCGAAAGCAGAGTTTAATGTGATTAAATATATAGATTTTCACAGGGTATGATGATTTACTGTAAAAGACATGAATTTGTCAGGGTAAAATTGATGTTGACCTAATTGAGCTTAACTAATCCCGTAACCAATATGTTTTTATACTGTAACTATGATAACAACATTTTTTAAACATCTACACTCTTTAAAAAAAAGTCCCAAAAGTGCTATTTGTTGCAAAGGCATTGGAGAATCTTTTTGTGTTCCACAAAGAACCTTTCATTGAAGTTTTTCTCTTGGTGCTAACAACTTTTAAATAATCTAAAAGAAAACTGACCTATCGAGATGCCAAGTTTTTTCAATAGAAATTTTCTATTTTTGGTGTAAAAGAGAGATTAGCAATTAGGAAAATGGATATAAAACAAGTTATTTAGCTCTGATTTGGTGGAAAAAAGCACAACATGGCTATATTAGGAATGCCATGCTAAAAAGTCAACTGAAAGTATTGCCAGTAACACTCAGTCTAGTAGCAAGCAACAGCAAAGCACAATTTTAGAGTTGTTTGTGGCTGTATGCACCATATGAATGAACATATTAACACATATTCTATCCATTTTGCAATTCCACATCTGTACGTTGAATGTCGTGATATTTTGTGTAGCATCTATGTTGATAACTATTTTGTTTTTAGACAATATAAGTTACAGAAAGGCTCCCATCAGCCATGTTAGTTTGCTAAGTGTTCTGTATTTTCATAATTATTTTTTTGTTTGTATAATAAGTTACACTATGTCCATAATTTGAGTTGAACTTGTTTACAGACAGGAAAGGTCATCTTATTTGTGCTTACGGTTTGCTCAGGAGAAAAACGAGTGTTCAATTTCTGAATACTTAAAAACAAATTTGAATAAATGTTGGAGTAAGTCAATATCTTCTCAGTTTCTTTTTTAAACTGACACTCACTGCATCTAAGCAGTAAGAAGCTACGATACAGATTATTGAGCTGAAGTTTGTTTGCAAAATTCAATCGCAAATCAAATCGCAATATCTGTCAAAAAAATTGCAATTAGATATTTTCCCCAGATCGCACAGCCCTACTTAAAACATTGCACAATGTTACTTTACATACAGTACACTACATAAATGGTTCTAACCAAAGCAAAAAGCCGCCTTCACATGTATCTCTGGTGAATGTACAACCAAAGTCTGAACGGCCGACTGAGGAACCATCACACTCTTAATCATGTCTTCAGCGTTCACTTAAAGCAGACGCTAGAGCAATAGCAGATAGGATTACAGCTCTATCAAACTGGTTTTGTTGGAGAAACTGAAGAGCTTCCTCCATCACATACACACAATCCTCCCTCACCCACAGGGAGGCTCCTCTTCCACAGGACTGCCTGTTGCTTTTGGAGCCATGGGGCCGGGTTTACAAAGAGCCTGTGCCAGCGCTAACCCCCTTTTGACATTGAAAA